TTTTCAAGGTTATGTTGTTATTAACGATAGTCACCCTGCTGTATGAAAAGCCTAAAAAGCTTATTCCTCCTGTCTAACTGAAAGTTTTACTGCTTATATCAAGAAATTACATATAGTAAATAACTTCCCCCTTGGTTTCAGGAACACATGCATCTGAGCCAGCCATGCTGGCACATTCCTAGAATCCTAGCATTCTGGGAGCATCCAAAGTTCAAACCCAGCATGGGCAACTTAGTGAATTAGCTAGACTTGTATGGGAAATAAAAAATAAAAAAGGGCCAGGAACTACACCCGTGCCTTCTATCCACTTCCATCGTATGCTTCAGTAGCTCATCAGACCCCCAGCAACCAGCATGGTGCAGCAGATCAAAAGCAAAGAGGCCTTTCAGGAAGCCCTGGCTGCTGCAGGAGATAAGCTTGTAGTAGTTGATTTCTCAGCCACGTGGTGTGGGCCTTGCAAAATGATCAGGCCTTTGTTTCGTTCTCTCTGAAAACTATTCCAGCATGTTGTTCCTTGCAGTAGATGTGGATGACTGTCAGGACGTTGCTGCAGATTGTGAAGTCAAGTGCATGCCAACCTTCCAGTTTTTTAAGAAGGTGGAGAAGGTGAGTGAGTTTTCTGGAGCTAATAAGGAGAAGCTTGTAGCCACCATTAATGAGTTAGTCTGACTATGTTTTCTGAAGAACGTAACTATCAGCTGTTTAAAACTTAATTTTTTTAATTTACAAAAAAATAAGTATGGAAACTATACCCAACTGCCATCTGATTATAAATGACAATAAAATATTAATTCTACCTTTAAAAAAAAGGCTAGGGATATAACTCAGTGCAAAGGTCCCGTGTTCAAACCTTAATCTTGGGGGTAAAGAAAATGAATCCCAGTGTCCCAGGAAATGAGTAATAATCAAGTGGGAACATGGGTTGTGCTCTCCTGTTTCTAGAAAGACACATTGTCTATGTTTAGCAGATTTTTCCTTCTACTAGTCTTACCATTCTTCTGACTCATGAAGCATACTGCTTGCTGACCCCTGGATTTCTGTATCCTGACAATTGTTCTGCATATAAACCTACATTTGTACAAGTAAAGTTTGGATTTCTTGTACCAGTTATTGTTTCCCAGAGGGCCACCCATGCTCCAGCCTACTGAGATTGCTTGGGATTCCAACTCTCACATCCAACTTGTTAGCTGGACCTTCTAGTTTTCAAACACCCTCCTGCTTCAAGAGCATGCCATGTGCCTTGATTTTCATGTATGCCCTTGGATAAGAATAGTTACTTGATTGGGACTGATATAGAGACCTACAACCTGTCACTAGAGACCCTGATCTATATGATCAGTAGCCACTTGCTAGCTCTGGAGTCTCACCTGTGGTCTGTATTTCTTCACTTGATCTACACAGAGTTCATGAGAGCCTAAGTCAAAAGCCTTGTTAAAATCCAGATGCGTCCTGTCTACAACATTCTCCTGATCTACAAGCCTTGTAACCTTATCAGAGGAGTAAATTAAGTTAGTTCTGCCATGACTTGTTTTCCTAAAGGCCCTACTTAGTGTTATTACTAAAAGAGATTTGATTTGAGCCCAATTGTGGTTTCAATTTAGACATATTTACTGTATTTCCCTACCTGCTCAGTGTCCCTCCTTGTCCCCTCAAGGCCCGCCTGGTAGCTGGAGGTAATTGGATATATAAATTCATGCAAAAGCTCTAATGGAAAACAAGGGCTTTATGTTCTCTTCGCAACGTAGCAGCATGAAAAAGTGGCCCAAAATTTCAAAATGTTGACATGCATGTGGTTATTCTGAATTTCTATTGTCAGACAGTGCATCATGGTATAAGAATGGCATATTTTGGCTAGAGGATGATTTGCCTACAACAGGAAGGTTGTCATTCTATTCATGATCTGAGAATAGTTGTGGAGGATCGTATTACTTTTTTAGGGCCTCTGTAACCAATTACCACAAACTTTGTGGTTTAATGCAATAGAGATTTATTATCTCACAGTCTGGAGGCCAGAAGTCTCTTAGCGGTTTCTCTGGGCCAAGATCAAGGTATTGACAGGGGCAACCTCCCTCCAGAGGCTATAGGGGAGAACATGTTCTTTGCTTCTTCTAGGTTGTGGTGGCAGCTGGCACTCCTTCGTTTGTGGCTGCTTTATTCCACTTTCTACTTCTATGATTACACTGCCTTTGCCTCTTCTATCTGGAGCCTCCTACTGACTGGGTCTATATGGACACTTACAATTGTATGGACAGTCCAAGCTAATCTCTCCATTTTAAGAACATTCATTTCATTGCATCTACAATGTCTCATAGAAAACAATATTTTCAGGCTCTGGTGATTAAAACCTGGATGGGAGAGGTTGTTATTTAGCCTAGCACCAGATTAATGCCAAATGAATAAGGTACTCCCCTGCCAAACTCACTTTAGCCCCTTTGTTTGCCTAATTACCAACTAGAATAGAGAAAAGCAAAGTCTTGCAGGAGGCACCACTAGTTTTCTCCACCTCTGGTCCCTGGTGGCGTGTTCACTGGTTGGATGTGTTCATGTACATTCCAGGTCCTGACCGTATATACCCAGATGGGGCATGGCTCAGTATAGTCTTTGCCTGAAATTCATCCTGGCCAGTTTTCACTCATTTGGGTGGCATTCAACTGCCACAGTATAACTGCTGATGCAGGGTGAAACTTTAACAGAGGAGGGACACATTGGCTCACCAGTAACATTTGTCTCTTGGGCTGGCAGGGAGTGCAGAGGAGCCATTTATGCAATCTAATTATTACGTCAAGTGGGGGATGGAGTCATGTGTCTCAGATGCCATTTGGCACCTAGAAGGCTCCAAATCAGCATTAGTATATAAAAACATTAATATAGACCATTGATTAGATTCATTGATCCTGCCCACTCCCCCTTCCTTGGCTTCTTATTTTTGTTTAGAGTGAAATACAAAAGATTTGCTTTACCTCTGTTAGCTACCATGTCCAGGCAGGAGCTCTGATTGATTAAATGTCTTTTACAATTAAATGTACCTGAGGAACAATGTGCATTTCTGAATTGTTGTCCCTTTTCTTGACCTTGTATCATTTAAAATATCTGTGGCTAGCGAGACTGAGATACAGACTCCAAAGGAACCTGAAACAGGCAGCAGAGAAGAGAAATGGACAATGCTATTATAGTCCCTGCATCCTGAGCCTATGAAATAAGTGCTAGGAGCTTTTCATTAGTTGCTTCATGATCACTGTAGTACTCTGTTCCTTGGTGTTCAAGCTCTGTAAGCCCACAGAAGGCCTATTTTTAATTATTCTTTTATCAATAACCAAGTAATCTTTTGGGATTAGCCTCAACTGAATGCAATGTCCTACAGCCCGAGGAAAGAAGATATTAGGATTATTGAAGAGGTTTATTATGTTCCTTTTCCTTCTTGTTCCCCTCCCACAAATACTTTCCCTTCTGTAGACAGAACTCTGCAATGTTTTTACTAGGTAACAAAGCCTTTTTCATTCTACAATTGGAGATAATGCTAAAACATAGCTAAATCCAGGAAGAAGGATCACAGATATTTAAATTTATACTATGGAGTAAATGACTACCAACACTGCAACTACTACTATAAATGGTTAGATCTCCTATTAAATTAGGAAAGGGATTCACACCCCTCAGTCCAAACTCCTTATTTGAAGGAAGAGGAAACTGGAATTGACTGACACAACCCATAGTGAATCCTTTTCTGAAAATTTTAGCATGAGAGCATGGAAGACAGATATTCTTGACCAGTTTTATTAAGGGTCAGTTCTGAAGTGTTATGGAGCCAATTATCACAGCAGAACAATCATTAAATGAAGTCAAGACGATCTATCAGCAATGCTCAAAACACACCCTTCCCTTGGGTCTGCTCTGCTGCTACTCACCGAAATGTATCTGAGTCTTCTCTGCCCTCTTAGCACCTAATATAGTGCCTGCATCGTAGCACTGAGCAAATGTTTCACGAGGATGGAATCTCTCCAGAAACAGGGAAAGCTTTTCACTGAACCCCCTCCCCCCTCCCTCATTCTCTCACTCTGCTTCCCATGCATGCACACATTGTTTAGATAGTTGACCTGGTCAGGGGCTTTGTCTTTGGGCAGGGCTAGTAATTGGGTCTGTGGTTAGAGAGTGAAGTGAAGCCTACACAGTTTATTGCTGGTTGAACCATAATTCTAGCCTTCTTGAAACATTGGAGGAACTAGTCAGATTATAGTCTGAGATTTCAAAGCTCAGATCAGGGGTCCATGAGTCTTTGGAGCTCAGAGTCACCAATGCCAAATTTGGGTTTATGGGCAGCCTAGTGGAGGGGATTCAGATCCCACTTGGGAGGCAGCACATCCCCCCAACTGACTCCTCTTACTCTTTACTGAGGAGTGCTTCTCCGGCTGTGACTGAGAGTGCAAAGCAAGGATAGAGAGGGCACCATAAGGTTTTAGAATAGTCACGGGGATTCCTAGGCTTGCGGGGTGGATCTGCTCTCAGTCTCACAGCACCCTCAGCCACTGGCCCTACCTGTTTGTTCTGTCCCTTTGTTTCCTGACCTGCACTCACCCGCAAGGGCTGGGCCCAGGCCAAGTCCTGGCCCCCAGCCCACCTACTTCTCATCAGGCTGCATTGATTAGGTCCCATTGCTTATGCCTCTGTGTTCACAGCCAAAGTTTCCGGTCAGGATTGACAATGGTGAGACAAGGCAGCCCTTGAAGCAGGGTTATCCATCAGTCCCAGATAGAAACAAGATCCAGCAGCTGGGCCCAATCCTGTTGGCTGATGGCTCAGAATTGGATGAGAGTCTGGAGAGCCTTCAGTTGGCCCGAACCAATGAAATGGAGCCAAAGATACAGTTTCTGTAGCCATTAAAGAGATACTTCCACCTGTGATTGGCCCCAGGGTACTTCACTTCTGGACTCTCTCATTGGCTTGGAACAGCCTGCTGGCAGCCAGGTCACCCTGTGGGGAGCAAGCACCTACGTAGACATGCAGCTGGGCACAGCCTGCTGCTGGGCACTCAGGGGAGAGGCAGATAGAGGAGAAGGTATCGAGATCCTCCCTCTGCTTAACTGGTGACATCTTGGGGGTCCATCCACTTCTCCTTTCTGGGCCTTTCCCCTCAGGCTGGGCCTGTTCGCTTTCCTGGTCCCATTCCCCAACAGGACTTCGATACCCAGGTATGGTCGTGACTGGCAACACAGGGTAAGATGTGGCCTTTTCTCAGGGTTATTTGCATTGTCATAGAGGATACCTGCAATCTGAAGGCTGTGACTGTCCAAAGAAATCATAGGTTCATAAAAACCTAGTGCCCAAGGGAACTCTAATAGTTCCCACTTTGTAGACAAGGAAAAGAACTGAGGTGAACTCTGAGAGGTAATGGAATTTGGTTGAAGTCATGCAGCTCGTGAGTGGTCTGACCATTAGCTAGGGCGTTTGTGAATCATCACAAATAAATTGTGAACTATGGTATTTAATGTATCTTTCTATTGTTATTTAAACCACAGGTTTTCTGCCCCTGGGAAACTCTTGTTCCCACTGAAGAGATCTTCAAAGCATAAATATAGCTGAATTAGCTATTGTCTTCAGTAGATGAAGGAGGCTTGCACCATAGATTTTCTCTCATTATTTACTTTCTTGTGATTACCAATACAATAGTGAGTTGACTGGGGCCAGGGCTCTTCAGCCAGCTACCTACGTAGGAAATTGTCCAACAGGGGCCTCTGAGCACTAGCATCATGATGTTTGAGCCATTACTGTTTGAAGTAAGGCAAAGAAGCAAGTCAGTTAGTAAACGGCAAAAAGTCTGATCCTAAGATATTGCCAGATTAATACAAATGCTTTGTTTTTATGCATAGATCCTCCAAACTCTCTTTGGGTTAAAGACCTGGGTTTATTTGTTCATATATAAGGTGAGCCTCTGGAAAGTCCTGAAATCTTGGCCCTTGGGGTAGCTCTATAGCATCATCAACAACAAAAGGGATAAGGGACTTTCAGCTTCATAATCCAGCTTCCCCTCATTGCTTCTGTTTCCTTGATGCTTTAGTCTCAGCCTCTCTCTCTCTCTCTCTCTCTCTCTCTCTCTCTCTCTCTCTCTCTCTCTCTCTCTCTCTCCCCCTCTCTCTCCCTCTCTCTGTCTCCACCCCTTTTTAAATCCTTTAGAGGGTAATTTAAGTCCGCTCTGGGAGCCTTCTCATTCTAGTGTTGCCCACATCAATCTCTCCCTCCTTTGTATTCTGACTGTCCTTCTAGCCTATCTCCCTAAATGACATTTAACTGTATTCCATTTTATATTTCTCATCATTGGTTCCATTTATATCAGTCTCATCTTCTCAGGCAGCCTGTAAGTTCCATAAGGGCAAGGTACACATTTTATACTTGTGACATGAGCTCCACAATATCTAGTAGGCATTCAAATTAGAGTAGACTCATACCTTTTGTAATGACCTGAGAAGTGATCCCAATATATGTAAGAGTGTGACTCTGCGATACAATTTTATAAAGAGAAGGAAAATAAAAGCAAGCTGGCAGGAAAGAAATACACAAGTGTGCAAGAGGTGGGGTGATGCATGAATTTAGTCTTTCATATGTTTACCTGATTTACCAAATTTGCATCAAGGAGTATATATTACTCTTATGGGAAACAATAAGCATTATTTGCAAGATAGATTCATAGGTGCAGAAAGGGAGAACAGGAATAAATTATAGAGCTCATGTAAGTGCTATTACCTTGTGTTGAAGGTTGAAGAGCCTGGGGCAATTGTGTGGGAGATACCAAGCTGGTAACTCACAGTTACCACCCTCTAGGAGCAAACAGCACAGTGTGCTGGAGCTCTGAGGCTGAACCTCCTAACTTTTCTGAAATCCACCTGCTCCACTGGGTTTCCCCTCTAGGCATTGGTACTGAAAGTGCCTGCATGGTTTTCTGCTGCTGAGCTTTCCCATGATTCTTTGGAGTGTCCTGAGTGGGAAAGCATGAAGGTTTAGTTTTAACTCATACTCTATTCCCTTGCTAGCCTCCCATAAAACTCTTAGTTTTTTGCCTCTGGAACACTCTGGCACAATAGGACATAGTACCTCTGCTTCCAGGTGACTGGAAGTAAATGATACGTAGCTCTCCACTTAACTAGTGATATAAGCTAATGACAGTAGAGTACTTGCCAGGAAGGGAGTCTCAAGTGATTGCCGCTCGACACCTTAGTGAAGCCAGGTAAAGAGCAGGATTGTTGAAAGAAGATCATGTAAAAAACATGCATACAGCCCATGCATGTCTTTCACATTGGACAGGACACAATATATCTGTCATCTCCACATTTTCCATCTATTTAGGCCTACTTCACCCATAGCCAAGGAGAAAGACTGGCTATAAAAGGAGTAGCCAATGATTGGTCACAGGATGGCCATTTTAGCCAAGGCAGGCCATTCATGATTTGGTAGCAGGCCTGTATGCAGGATTTTTCTAACAGCGTTCCTCTTGCAAGCAGTGGAATTTAACATACCCATAATTGTGCTAGTTAATTGGTTCATGCTATGCATACTAAAATGGAATTTGTCACTTACTGGGGACAATAAACACGCGGAATGAATTGTATCCCTCCATAATTCCATCAATTCACCAAAGCTCATTGGATTTCTACTATGAACCATCAATTTCTTATTTTTACTTCTCAAATCACAAAATTCTGCAAACCAAAAACTTTGTTATAGGTTTGATATTAAACTCTTTTTAACTTATATTAAAATGTTGATAGTCTTTATCTCACTTAGTGTGAATATTCATATAGTTCATGAAAGACATATTAATAGGTCTGACTATAGGGAGCTATGCCACAACCTGTTGAATTTATTCTGTACTATAGGTAAATGTACGTGACTATCTGGATAAATAAAATTTAAAATTCTGAAACATACATGGCCCCCAGAACTTTACATAAGGCACATTAGTACTGAAAATCTTGTGGAAATCCTACCTGAGTTGGTCAGGGTAGAAAAAGCCTCAGAAAGAAGGGAGTAGGTATTCAAGCCTTTAGAGAGGAAGAATTGTTGAGGTTCCAGCCAAGAAAATGCATCTGGGTTGTTCAGCCATTAGTCCAACGGGCATGAACAAGGCTGAAAACAGAAGATAAAGTAAATTTAGGAGAATGACAGAACTGAAATAGAACAAGAACAATTTGAGAATAAGGGAAATGAAAAGAGTCTAGGTAGCAGAAGGGACATGGTGTCTATGACTGCAGGCAACTGCCTGACACCTCTTAGGTGCAAGTTTGGGCCAGCCTAGCTTTAAAGGTAGAATATTGTGGTAGACAGATACAGAGAAGACTGAGAAATAGTCTCTGCTGTGACTTTGCCTAAAGTCTAGAATTTTATGTATCAGGAGCAGGGGCCTGAAAGGATGATAGTCTGAGACAAAGATTTACTAGGTTTCTTCATGCCTCTGTGGCTTTTAAAACTTATTCTGAAAAAAATAAAAATCTTCCACACATAAAATTTGTATAAATAATAAATATAGAACTTATTCAATGAACACTTATGTTAACTGTTACCCAGTTCAGAAAATAGAAAGTTATCAGCAAAACTGATGTTCAACTTGTGCCCCCTTCCCTAATTTAAACTCCTTTTTTGCCTCCTAAAAGGTAACAACTGCAGGATTTTGACTTTTACATAAATCACTTCTTCCTTTTATTTACCTTTGCACACCTTAGCATGCATTCCTAAACACTGCAGTTTTGCCAGATACTGACTTCAATATAACTATTCAGTATGTGCTCTTTGGTGTATGGTTTCTTACATTTATATTATGTTTGTGAGTCATTCATATTGTTGCATGACAGGTAGATTATTCCTTCTCATTGCTATATAATATTCCCTTTTGTGAATATGCCACAAGTTCATTTTGTTTCCTACTGTAGATGTGTATTTGGACCATTCCCACTTCCAGGCAGTTAAGGCTATGGATACTTTTGTTTGACTCTTGGTGTACATGTGCCTGCCTTTCTGCTAGTAGTGGAATTATTGAATCATAAGATCTGCACAGGTCCTGTTCGGGCAGATACTGCCAGTGTCTCGAGTATACCAGTTTACACCCTTCCATTGTGCCAATTCCTTATCAACACTAAGTATTGTCATATTTAAAGATTTTAATTATCCTGGTGGGTGTGCAGTGATATCTCACTGTAGTTTAATGTGTAATTCTCTCATGACTAATGAGGTTGAGCATCTTCATATATTTATTTGCCTTTATACAGACTTTTTTGAAGAATTCCTATTTAAGTATTTTGCCCATTTTTTCCTTGCAGATTGCCCTTTTATTTTTCACTTGGAGAAATTCTTTACAGATTTTAGATATAAGCTCTTTTTTTAAAAGAAGACAAGTGATACAAATAAATTCTGCAGCACTAAACCTTCTCCGTTAGTTCTCATTGAGTTTTATTTTCTCAGCCTAATTTCTATCAGGCTTCTCACGTTTAACTGACCCATGATTTGCCTTAACAAGCTTGTGTAGACCTTAGGAGGTGCCTCACTGAGGCTGCAGGTTCTGTCCTTTAACTTTCCTTCTTTTTTCCTCTCTCCTTTCCATCCATCTCCCTTTCTCTTTCTTCCTCAGTTCCTTCCTTCAAACCTTGCCCTTTCTTGGGGAGGGGAGGTGTTTACCATTTAGATTCGCCAATAGACCAAGAAACTTTCACTCTGGCAAGAATTCAGAGAGTATATAATTCTCTCTTCCAATGACAAGGAGTTGGAAGCTCAAAGAAATGAAAGGACTTGCCCAAGATCATACTGCAAGTTAGTGGCTATGCTGGAAGTAGCTCTCAGGTCTCCTGCATGCCTATCCCAGCGTTTCCCATTCCACTATGCTCAGAAAGCTCAGGCACAGTTGAACACTGACTGGAGTGCTTTTCCCCTTCTGAAAAATAAGTGCTGCCTGTGTCTGTGTAACAAAGTAATCAGTAGAGAGTATGGCTCATGTCAGTCTGGACCCAGGTTGAGAGAGAACATCACCTCTGCTCCTTTCCCATCTCATGGCTGTCAAAGCCTGAAGGACAACAAATGGCTTGAGTAATGAGATGAGTTAAGATAGTGTCTCCCACGCTGAATTATGTGCCAGTTCCAGGACTGCAGGATTCTGCCACAATCCATTTACACAAGAAATTAAATTGAAGATCGCAATGTAATATTCATA